GGGCATTGATAATCTATTCCATGAAATCCTGCAAGAAAACTTTACAAATCTAGAGAGGCATTCTAATATCCAGACCCAAGAAATACAAAGGACCTCACATAGAATCAACCCAAGAAGATCTTCTCCAAGGCACATCATAGCCAGATTGGCCAAATCCACAGGCAAAGACAAGATACTAAAACTGGCAAGGGAGAAATATCAGGTTATTTATAAAGGTTATTCCATCAGGCTAACATAAGACTTCTCATCAGAAACAATACAAGCAAAGAAAGAATGGGAAAATACATTCAAAGTGTTAGTGAAAAACAGTGTCAACCAAGAATACTATACCCGGCAAGATCATCCTTCACATGGGAAGAAAAGATAAAAACATTCTCAGGTAAAACCTGAAAGAATTTCCCCATGCCAGACCTGCTCTTCAAGAAGTTCTGAAAGGAGTGCTTTACCAGGAAAACTAAAGACACACAGACAAAAATTAGAGAACAAAAAGCAATAAAAAAAAATGACCAACTTAATGGTAAGGCCATGTCCAGAAATATCAATAATAACGTTGAATGTTAACTTCCAGGATTTAAACAGAAAGATCAGAACATGGTTAACACTGCAAATTCAACAGAAGAGAGATTGATTACATAAGACTGAACTGGTAAAATAAAATTTTATGACTTTTGAGTAAAACATTACTGATTTTTTTTCCGTATACTTTCTTTTCCCAATTTAAGGATTTTTGTTTTCTTTTGAGTTGATGATAGGTTCAGCACTTTGTTAAAATGCTTTTTCTTTTTGTTTCATTAAATAGAAACATAAACTTTTCTACCTTCCTGACCCCTATGAAATTAGAAGATATTTGGGAGTATTGTTATTTTGAGGCAGAAGGGTTATTTGCATAAATTCAATAATACCTGTTGCCTTGAATCAGAAATTAGAGATACTCATCATTGGACAGGCTGTGACTGGAATGTCATATCTGAAGATTATTAAACAAGAAAACTATGGAACTACGATAGATCTCAAGGAAGACAAAAGAAGCTCTTGGAAAGATGGCCTGGCATCATAAACAGTTCTGCCTGGCAGAGAAGATTAGAGAAGCTACATGAAAGAATTAATATCATAAAATAACCTGGACTTTTCCAGCCCAACACTGTAATCAATAGAGATTTCAAAAGAGAGGCCAAGGACCAGCAGTTAGCGTAATGGCTATGTCGCTGGACTCCCACGTAGTCG